GGTACCATAAAACCACACTGGGGCAGTTATGTGGGGCTGAGCAGGGGGAGACTGACATCTCCGAGACGCCCCTCTTGGGGGGGTCTTGTTTACATCAGGTTTAAGGGGATAGTGTAGGTGAAATGTAAACGTGAGCTGCCTTTCTAAAACTGGGCAAGTCTGCGATATATCTGCTTCCAAGCTATATTTTGAAATTGCGGACAGAAATATTTATTCGTAACCACCACCATTCCCCTGTTTTCATGCAAAATGCAAACTCACAGAATTAAATTATTTCACTGATTTTTACCGCCCAAAGTGAAACACAGAAGCGAGGTATTGATATGCTGAAAAATCCTTGCTAATGTAGGTCAATGCATCTGTTGATATGCTGTAACATGTTTGATTGCCATTATATGCTACAAAAATTAGGAGCTGTGATTGTCCTATCTTTAAAGTGACAGATGATGATCTGTCAGACATGTGGAGGTTGTGGGTGTGCACATAGATATGGATGCACGTATATGCTTATGAATATAAAATACCTAAAATGATGTGAAATAAAATATGAAGCAGGTTAAGCTTGGAATGACCACAAGCACAATGAAATCACAAGTGAGTTATGAGCACCAATAAAACTTTTATGCAACACCATATTATCATGTCTTCTGCATCTGCTGTGTCTTCAATAGAAAATCTACTTTAGAAATGTTGTGTACACCATTTAAAAATTATATGGTAGTATTTATTGTACCCTTTCATCTGTAAAAGCCAGACCCCCTTCATATCAGTCCATCTGGAAAGGCCCTAAAAAGAAGAATAATATATATTTTTTAGAAACCTACTGTCTAAAATAGCATTAGTTTTCTAGACATTAAATACCCTGTTTATACAGTACTGCGTCTCAGAATTATCAGGAGCTAGCAGCTGGAAACCTCTTCGTCTTCTTTAGTGGGCTGTGTATATGAAAATTCTTTGAGAGGTATGTTCCTAAGGGAACGCATGAAGTTTTGCTATTGTATGATGACATCATCCTTTGATATCGTACAGTCATGTACTCTGTTCTGATTATCTGAGCTCCTTTGCCTTTTTCACAGAAGGCAAAGCGGGAGCAATATTTATGTCCCTTGGGTATATTTCCCACTGTTACTTTCCTACTGGTAGTGTGGATAGCGTATGTAGATTTCCTTGTCTGTTGGGGGACCTTCTCTATCACGGAAGAGCTCTTACATGCAGGATATTTGCTTTCTTGGTGCTTTCTGAATATTTTTGAAATCTACTTAGTGAACATGGGTGTAGTTTCCCACACTTCTATTTTTCTCGTTAGCGAGAGAGCCTGCTGTTATTTCTAAGTTTTTGCAGCCTGATACTCTAGCAAGCTCATTTATGTTACCAGGAACCCCCTTTAATCCCAATGTCATATGTCAGGACCCAAGATGAATTTTGCTCCTGTATCAGCACCACTGTTTTCTATTGTGAGCTTCGCACCCCTCTCTTCTAGCGTCCTCTTGGGATTATTGGTGCCAGCGCTTTGCTCTTTTAAGAGCATCTGATGATGAAGCTGATGTTGCCTATCAGAATCACAGGTGCTGGAGAGGATTGACAGTGATGTTTAGGTAATATCTAATGAATTCCTGCATCCTGCTGAGGAAATCGCTGTTCCCAATTTAAGGACCCACTGTATGAGCGTAACTGCAGTGTCCGATGTTACAAGTGTATTTCCCTAGTGGAATTATGTAGAGTAGAAATTAGGACTTGTGTGCACATTTCAACAGACGTCGTTTCTAAATTTGGCTTAAGGCACTGATGCCAAGAGGAGAGTGCCACAAGTTACAAACTGCTTGACTTGACTCACTTGGTGGAGCTTCCAGAAATGACAATATACCAAATCACTGGGAGGAAAAACGTGTTATTGACAATACTGTTTCTCAGGAGTTTCTTTAACATGTCTATTATATCAGCTCCCCATCCCTTGCACTTTGGGGTTTTTTTCTTGTAAAAGTTTGAGTACACGTAGGTGGCTTTCAAAGGATGCTGTTTACTTACACAGGTAGCCTCACTTTTCAGCTTAACTGGCTTCCATTGCAAACTGTTTGTGATTCAGTAATGCATTATATAACTTTCTATTGCAATATATTATTCAGTTTCAGCAATCTCCTGAACCCTATACAGGACTTCTAAACTGTGGATTCAGTCTTTAGTGTTGCTAAGGAATATTCTACCACCATTCATATTCTAACTTTTTCCAGTTTCAAAAGTTGTTGGGATCTGTAATGTTTCTCACTAGTTTTACCTAAGGATCTCCAAAAAGCCCCCTTCTTACATAAGGGTGTAATTAAGTGCTTTGGAAAGAAGGTGTGAACCTCTCAGTGCAGACTTTCAGAATAGATCTGGAATCTCAGCTCTTCTGGATTCCTCAACCTTGATTTGGGGACTTGAGGTCCTCAGGCTTGGCTTCTGAAGAAAAAAAAGTGTGATGACAAGTAGTAAAGCACATCTCTTGTGCCATGAAAATGACCTTTCACTTGCAAGCAACTGGGCAGAGACACTTGCCTGCCTCTTCCTTGTTAGCATTGTAGGTGTTTAACTTGTATAGGTTATCTTACTTCACTGAAGTTAATTTGACAGTGCACATCTCACAGAACTTCCAGGTTTCTGTGTATACATAAAACATTTCTATCAGCTGTATTTAATGCACATTTTGAGGGATTTTACACATCTATAATGATAGATATTTTAAATTTGAAATCGGACACAGATGCATCCGCAATAAGCATTGTGAAATCTTATTTTTCAGGTTAGAATATAACTTAAAAATCTAGCTGCTAGTGGTTTATGTAGAGTTCAAAAAGGCTAGTATGCCCTTTAGGGTGGGATTCAGTAGGATGGTATATCTTTACCTGTGGGTAAGGGCGTGCCCTTTCCTCCCATATCTTTATCTCACCATCCCTATTCCTTAGCCAGGGTGCCTTTTGAAATATAATTGCTATTAGTATAGAGCTGTGTAGG